ATCCATCCATATCTGATGGTATTTTGGGTTGAAATCAGTCGAACCCTGGATCTTTTGTCAATGAGCACAGGTGTCAATTCGAAGCCGTATAAGACTCCTACAAGAAAAATGATGAGAGAAGATTTACCATGTTGTCAGAAAAACGCTTGATCGACTTTTTTTAAATCAAGAACTACTATTATTCACCCCCTTTTTATATTGGGCCCAGACTGACTATGGACAGATTCGTTCATTATTCCTCCATAATTTATTTTGATTTCCTTTTGAGTTTGCCATTATCATGGCTTACCCGGTCGGTTTATTATTAATTACACGGGAAATCATTACCTCTGAGTGTTGCACTGTTGAGTGATCTGTGGTACCCAAAAGCTTGCATCGGTGGCTTCCAGTCCTTGTTAGGTTGTCCACAAATGAATCGATGGTCCACTCAGCCAGTCATTCGGGCGCTCCACTCAGTGCTGGTCAACGGTAACATGATGACTGTAACATGTGTTCGCAAACAATAGCATCCGGAAGGGGTGCACTCATCGACGTGAACGGCCACAGTCGTGGACTTGGTCAGTTTCTCGTTTTAGAAACACTACTATACTGATTTTGTATTGTGTCTGTAAATATAGGTATATTCCGGAACATGCTCATTGTGACATCAGAACGCGTTTTCAGAGACAGACAATAGTTTTCAATGATACATTCTCAAGTCTTTACAAATCATATAGGAGATGGTTGTGCTAAAATGGTCAAGGGTCATTCGGATTGGACATAATCTGTGGGAGGGAGAAGGGGAAGGGGTGGGGGTGAGGTCAGATCGACGAGTCGATCCGCATGACTAAATCGTGACGGTCACATGGTTCGGAGCTGAGTCACTGGGGTGGGGGTGGTCTATCGAGTCTATCGAGTGCCCCCAATCCCCACAAACACATCCGCTTGCACACACTGGCCACTGCAGAGGCGATTAACATCCATCTTTTCGCACCTGTTCTGTGTACACAGAGGAAATTCGTTCAAGCCCTCCAATTACCCTGGCCGCAAGTGGACCATCCCCACCCCAGTGACTCAGCTCCGAACAATGTGACAGTCACGACCTAGTCATTCGGATCGACACGTCGATCTAACTCCATCTCCGCCTCTCCCACAGACTATGCCTAATCCGTATGACCCTTGACCATTTAAGCACAACCATCTCCTATATGATTTGTAAAGACTTGAGAATGTATCATTGAAAACAATTGTTTGTCTCTGAAAATATATATATATATATATATATATATATATATATATATATATATATATATATATATATATATATATATATATATATATATATATATATATATATATATATATATATATATATATATAGACTACTTCTGAGCTTGACGGAGAGGTGTACCATCTGTCTTCATGCAAGCAATGCGTCTTTTAATTTTCAGGTATTCACATTTCATCGCAAGTATCCTAGTACATAGCGCAACATGCAGAATAAGAACCAAATAATGATTTGACAGAAAACAAGCTTTCTATATTTTGAAGCACAAAATTCAGCAACTAATCCACCACTGACCGCGACTTTAGGCCATATGTTCCGCATGGATTCCAATCAAGAATGCTGTGGAATTCTTTTCGATAGTCACATTTTGTAACTGAGCAGAAATACGAGCATGGAAAGGTTTATTGAACGAGTCACTCTTTTGTCTTGCTTGTTTGTGTCTTACCCGTCAGCTATTCTATGGTTTACTTTTGTCCAATCGAACAAACATTTTGACTTCTGGTACTCACAGTACTTGATCGATCTTACACTGACTACATTTCCACCAGGACAATCGAATTCGCCCATCAAATCAGGAAGTGATGGTCAAACTGAAACCGGCTTTCATCAAGCCCCACGACATCATTGCTGCAGCCAAGGCGAACATTCTATCCGTTGGTGCGTCAGAATGCCTTTTGATTTCAACTGAACTAGCAAGATGGTCGGATTGGGTACTGAAGCTTGTACTACACGATCACGTCTACTTCAGTCAGGATCATAGATATCAGGTAATTGTGAGACCCACTTATATGACTCCATTTTGAGCATTCCTATACTTAAACACTGTACATCCACAGACTATGTCAAAAATCGGCTCGGATCATAGAACGCGATCTGTTGTAGCTAGATGTTCGGTTATTCACGAAGTTGTTAGTTGGAGTAAAATATTCATCCGAACTGCGGTTTTCAGCATGAATTCTAAATCATTATTGCTTCGTTGTATGTTTGCGGAAGTTAGTGAAAAAGCTTCAGGACAGGTGCGCATAATTCACAATGACTTCAGTTCAGTCCGCTAGTCATGCACCATGTGGGAATGTGGTGGTTTCTATCTCAGCAATAACCTCACTTGGGAACTGGCATGTAAGTCGACGGGTGAGAAGTTTCATCGTATGTTAGAAGATCTTTAGTCTTGGACTGTGTGGATCTCTTGTTCGCCAGTCAGGGAGATAAATGCGTCCAATACATAAAGTTCATTAGTCAGGCCTTTCACAAATTTCCTCATTGTGAGGGACTGGTCGACCCTCACGATCAAACCTTTAACTGGCCTAATGTGCATTACATACACTGTAGTTCCATTCAGAGTATACGTCTCAATCATTGTAACCTACTGAGCCACGTAACAATGACTTATCTTTGAGCCAATTCATAATATTCGAAGGGGCTTACTTGTGGTGGGATCATCAATTTGGTTTTAGTTTCCATGGGAAATACTCAGCAGTAAAACGTACCAATCAACGGGTGAAGAGGAATTGGAGTGTTTCTGGTTATTATCGCAAATCAAATAACAAGAGTTCATATTACGACCATAGAGACTAACATTACACATCTCTCATGCTGTGTTTTATGAACGTTCTTACCGTGTGATGTTTCACATGAACTGAAAAGAAAAAATTGTAAATGAGTCTAAACCAGTGACCATTCATATAGGCCATGTAAGTTCCATGTTCATGATCCATTATTCCCCAAGTGTTTATTATTATTTTGTTAGCGATTTTCGTTTTTTGATCAGTCTACTCTAAATCAACGGACTCTGTCCGGAAAATGTTGATGTATTTCAGACTCACGAAGCATTTTCGCTGTCAAATATTAGACAACCTCAAAGCACTTGATTGCAACTTATTCCCTAAATCCTATCTCGGACGATCAGAATGAGCTGGTGCAATACCACTGTATAAATTGAACGACTGCGTGGTAGTCTAAATTTTGGTCATCCATTTGGAGTTACTAGTCTGAGCCTGCTCACGACCACGGGGAACCAGCTTCACACAGATGGTGGACGTTTGCAATTGGTTGCGGCCTGTGGTGCTGACGACCTGGGACGTACCATGTTCACTTGAAGCCTGCTGATCACCACCTGATCAGTTCGATCACTCTCAAACGAAGCTGGAGTTTTGTAGTCTCTTGGTGGTTGGGTTTCCAAGCATTCAGATTGTCTCAACCCAGGTTCCCGAAGTATTTGAGAAGCGGAATCGACATGTGTGGGACTTGGAACAATATCTGTATCAGCGGAAACATTAGGAACCTGGTAATGGATTTGCTTCACATATCTCCGGTGCACCAACGCAACGTCCATGTCCCAGAGCATTTCCAACCGCTGGTCGTAAATCATTTCCACTTTAGTATGAGATATCAGCAGATTCAATGCTTCTTCGATACGAACGGAGTGATCGACATCTGATTTATATTGCTGAACTGGAACGGGTGATGCCATGGGCTGTATTTATGTATTGAAGCAAGATATTGTCCACAACTCATTCAAGCTCTTGAGTATTTGACGGTGAACGGACTTGATTCGAGGCGAGAAATGTGGATTCACGTTGTCATTTTTTAATCGATTATCAGTATTGTTCTGCATATTCGGTTTCATAAGTGGACTGATGGTTTCAACTAAAACAGCTCGTCAAGAATCTGTTCCACTGTGTTTAATACATGGGAAAGAACATAGACATGAATCAAACAGTTTCTGGTACTGTGATCCAACCTGGTTATCCAAGTCACAGTGAGTTTGTAATAATACGAACGACTTCATAGCGGCCTCTTCACTTCCTCGTAAATCCTAATAAGTCACACAGAATGAAGCAAACCGAATGAATGCTAATTCTCTTTGAACGTTCAAATTTAGGTGACGTGCAACACTGTTTGATGATTTTACAATCAAAAGATGCAAATATCGACCCCGTGACTTGAATTAGGATCATGAAAGGTGTAATGTTGTAGTCTACTGCACCAGTTACCGGTCTTTTGAAACTTGTTCCTTTCCAGTTCTGTGAGTTTATGTGGCTGTTCATTTCGAAAGTCCGTACAAGATCTATGGAAAAAACACAATGAGAGTAGAATCTACTTCCGATCTAATTGTTCAGTAATGACCGCATCGTCTCGAATCACTGCTCAGCGATTCAAATTTCACTCCCCTCTTTGCCAATTCTTTCCGCTATCCGTCACTAAAGCTATCCGTAACTAACTGTGATTAGCTTGGAGCTCGAACAGCCGTTAAGTCGTTGATCTTGGGTATGATGGCATTTAAATAGCTATAACATCTTTCAGATGCGGATGGAGGTTCTTGATTTGTTTCGGTGGCCACAACTGTTACCGTAGTTTCTGATGTCATTGGACTTTTAATTGGTAAGTTCCAGAAGACGGTCAACTCCGTACGGTCTTTCACAAACGGAATCAATATGAACGTGGACGTCAAAAACCATGTGACTTGGCGAAATCCATCTTGTGCTCCTACTGAGAAGGATACATTTTACTATTTTCATTTGCGTCACAGGTGTTATTTTTTATACATTTTCATTAGTAACCATCCAATTTCTTGCCCAAAAAGTGAGCAATTCGGATGGCATGTGATATTTTATTTCCGAAACAACATGATTTAGCTACGACGGTAACAAGTGGAACTGGATCAGTTGCATATGTCAACGAACTAAATAAGAGGTTTCCACTGGATTCTGAGTTGTTCTGCGATACGTTTGAGTTAATCTTTGATCACCGGATCCTGAAAGGAATTGCAGAAGAGATGATGCACCCAGTTTTTAAAATTCTTCGGCAATGAAAATGTAGCTAAACACGTGAATTCGTTGAGGAGAAAATGGTTTTGGTGGATGCTGATAAAACATGAATTCGTGTTTTACCCCCAAATTAATAACGAATATGAACTTAATAGCCATTGATGTCGGTTTTAGTACCTGTATTGTACGCGTTCTTTGGAACATGAAAGCAAATATTATTGCTGTTTATTGAGGTGCTGACTGACAGTATATTCATTTTAATTCCCGATTACATGTCAGTGCAAACCATATTTTCAGGATTCTAAAGATTTGGTAGAGTGATGATAGTGCATGGAACATCTCATCATGTGATGTGTTTTACAAGTTGGTTGACAATCAAGAACCTGACCACTGTAAATGTAGAATCTGCTGAATCTAATGGAGAATGGCCACGGAGTTTTGTGAAGGAATGTTGCCTCTTCTTTCCTTCGTCCAGACAGCTGTTGAAAATGTGCACCATAGAAACACAATCAGAATTTGCGTTAGGCTTCACATATTTTAACATAGAACATCCGACAATCTCTGTGAGACCGCAGAACAAATGAACCACAGAAACTGAAAAGTGAAATAAATCTGTTCACATTTAGTGTGGATCGATGTATTCCAGCAACACGGATTAGGTATTGAATTCAATATCCTGTTTTAGCAGTTCTAATGCAGACACCGTTGAAATTCGAATGAAATGTTTAGTTTTTGGAATTTATACTACCTTAACAAAAAGCGGTACAACATGATACATACTTTTATATCAGTTTGAAGAAAGTGCCTGAAAGTTATTCGCCAACATTTGAAAAGCTCCCCATCAGGGCTTTTATGGGGTACTTGTTTTGATAGGATGTCTGAAATTTCCACAGGTTTGCTACTGTAAATGCATACACCAAACGAATGAATGGATATACCCAAGACAGTAGGATTAAAACTCCCATGGAAGGTACCCATCCGAGGCATTACATGGCAGCAAATTATTTCTCCAAGAAGAATTTAAAATCGGATGGGGACTGGAAGAATGTTACTTTTCAACCCAGTGAGGTCTTCATTGTTCATAGTGTCATAGGAAATACCTCACCAACTAAGGTAGCAATGAGTTATTCCACTTCATTTCAACTGATGTAGTGAGTTTCAAAACGTAAAAGTCACTGAATGAATGTGTTTTGGAAATTCCTTCCCATGGATAACATTTTAACGAGTCCTTAGTCTTGCTATAGAGTACGGGATGTAAATTAAAAGTCGAAACAATTCACAATGAAATTTGAATTTCTTCGCAATCGTATCAAGTTATCAACCTCATTGGGCGTATAATGCTGGCTTTTGATCTGGTAAAAGATTAAGCAGACTACTTATTCCTAACTGTCATTGTTATGGCTTGTAATAGTTGACACATAAATACTCTATGAGGACATATTTCGTGCTCTTTGACTTATTATAATTCAAACCCATAAAACATCATTACACAAGTCGATTGTGTTGGAGTTTTCCCACCGCCTTTTAGAGTAACTTATTTTACTCATGAATAATAGGAAGAAACACTTGTTCTTTCATGGGAAGGTTCTGAGCAAACTATTTTACAGAAAGATGTACAAAATGTGCCGTCATAGCCTTATCAAATTCATATTTCCTAGCATGATGAAAGATTCCTGTCATGAATGTAAATTTGTCCATCGCCACAAGAATGAAAAACGGACCGTGTTTGTATGATCTTGATTTCAAGGTCACGTAATACAAGTAGTCAATAGCTTTTTCAAGTGAGTTTACCGTGAATCGCGAAATAACTGACAAAGTACCACATGCAAAAGTACTTTTCCAAAATGTTATTTTTACTTCTGTTTATATTTCAGTTAATCAGAAAGAAAAAGTACTACCCCTGGTAGGATCAGTACTCATGCCCGAAGTGTGAAAACCAGATGGGATGAATTTTATTTACATGACTTCAAATAATACTCATAATCAGCTATTCAGCAAATTTTGTTTCTCAGGCATCAGTCAAACAGAGCATGTCAACCAAGGCCATACAATGTCGGTTCCGTTCAGAATGGTACAGAGCCAATTTGAACAATATTCAACTGTATAGAATTTTATATTCGCAACCTTTAAAAGGCATTGTGTGTTTTAAAATAAATTACGGAAGTAAAGCTCAAAATGAATAGAAAATACTTTTGCTTACAAATTTCGACAGAACCTGTAGGTAATTCACACTCTGCACACGGTTATTCGATGAACTCATAGGTCAAAACGGTCTGTCTACAAATCACTGTGACATGGTCAGCCTGCCACGATTGAGTGTCTCAGACTACACGAAACCCGGAGGAATTTAGTAGTATTTAGTGCTTAGTAAAACAAACTTCTGTGTAGTGGTCACTTTTGTGCATTTTATTAGGATTTCAGTAATTGTGCTTCTGTGGTGTGACCTACAAAAGGACCGCCTGAACAGCGGCCTTTGCCTATCGTCATTCACCCTTTTGTGAATCACATAGCTTTCCACTTTTTGAAGTGCTTACTGGATGGCGTCACAGTGCTGAGCTTTACACTCGAACTTTTCTGAATGTCATTGGCATATTCACTTCTAAGCACCGTATCATGTGTGTCCAATTTATAAATTAAGTAAATATGCTTTCCCGAGGATTTCAGAGCACCAAATTAGGCCTCACTGATTTAGAACGGTCAAGATTAAAATCCACAGTTCGTCTGGTTTAAATATTCACGATTACAATAGAAGTTCAGTTCTAAGGAAGCACCACCAATACCACTCACGTCACTGTAAATTCCAACATCCTGTTGTGTTTCGTACGATCCCATCCCGGTCTGTTCAACTGTTTGATCCAAGACACTTCCCATGTGCGTCATGATGCGTTTGATTCGCGCGAAACTGATTCAAGTGGAGGAAGATTTGGGGAATTAAGGGAACAACTCATTTTACTTTAAATGCCAGAACAAATGGATGAGCTTTGACTGAAACAGAATTCTTGATTATCGTTAAATTATCTCCGAGCTAAGTTGCTCATATAGATTCAAACATAAATATAGCGAACAAGAATTCAAATGGAAAGCGGTCGGAATCCCTGCAGTTGCATTCAATCATCTAAGTGCTAAATGATTTCCTGTTTGTGAAAAACTCATTGATGTCTCTCATCCAAAGTGAATAGGAATTCATACATTCTGAACATCTACTCAGTTAGACTTGGTAAGAGAATATCATAATTCGCTTGTGGGAGATTTTACGGCGAGTTTTGTTTTCATTGATATCCGAAGAAATGGCCATCTATTCACATTGATTGGATGTTGCGAACAGGAAATTGTAAGGATATGGGCTGCCTCATTATCGATGGACAGCCAAGTCACGTTTACAGTCACCACTTGTGCGATATCAACCCTGAGGCTTGGGACAACTGAATCTCAAGTGACGGGATAGCTGATCGATGTTGTGGACCGATAGAATTGGAGAATAATTCTGTCAGCAGTGTTTAGGCCTCGAGGCTTGGTCACCCACAATATGCCTGTGTGCACCGACTGAGCACACGGACCAACATCCTACATACTCGTTGTTGTTCACTAAGGAAACGCGATGATTCGGAGACAGAAGAGAAATTTCGAAAACGTGATATCAGAGAAATTTGAGGAACCCCACACAAATCTGCAAATGGATATATCAAGAACACTGGTATTGTGTTTGGTTGAAGTCACGCACACTACGCGGACAACTGACCAACATTCTTCTCACGAATGGACGTACGCTGATTTGCCATGATCTCTAATCCTGCTTTAGCGCCAGCAGTATTGACTTATCCATTTAGCTATGTACTGATTGGTCATAATCTGTTTCGCGTGAGAGCACATGTAGTTTAGCTCCTTATGCCCACTCACTTGGTTGCTTGCAGCTTACTCGCCGGCTACAGCCGGGTTTTGTGTTTACGCTCGTACAAATAAATGCAAAGCCACCACTACGTGTTCTACTACTAACTTCGGACACAACAACTGGCAATACCACTTCCGGCGCCGCTGCACATGACAGGTCAAAATCCATTGCTTGAAGAATGCAGTTTATGAGAACAGAAATACCAAGAGTTTGCTGTCTTCATTATGTTATATTGGGAATCGAAAGTGTGTCAAATAACAATGCTCCGATACTGTCTGGGGGTGAAACCAGGAGTATTTTGTTCACCCTCGATTAAATGAGATTGAGGACCGAGAAGATCCGTGTATCAGTGCTGCAGAAAATGGACAGCTATTGTTTGATTCAGTCGAATGAAGCGAACACCACCGTGACCGGGACTACTGAGGATTTACACCCGAAATCGAATATTACAGATGCCCCCGTGGGAGATTACGTTAACGACACAGATGCAGTGATTCCTGAGTCATTTGAACAAGAGTCGAGTAGTTACATTCGAGAAGCATACACAGCAATACGATTATCCACAGCGGCCTCCATGTTGTTGAGTACGAAATGAGCTCAGTAACTATCAGAACGAAAAAAAACGGAGATAATATGGGGTCAGAAAGTTCCAGGCATATCATTTCGATGAAGGGAGCTAAAAACCCAACGTATTTTGACACCAGTTGTAAGAGGCGCAACTAAATAAGACAAATAATTGAAGAAACAGAAGGGCTATATAAAAGAACTGAAAAATTGCACATGAGCCCGGAAAGACTGGAAGTGGTCGTTTTTATTAAAGAAGGAAGGATGTGAGGGTATGGGTTAGCTCATTGTTGATCGGCAACAGTCAGCAGGTGTGCCGTGCCACCCCCGAGGTCATGGTCCCTACAAATGGAAGACCCATCACAATCTGATGAATTTGTCAACAGTTTTGCAAGTACTGTTTAAACTGTGTATCAAAACCGAGTTTTTGTCTGATTGCATAAAATATCATGTGCCATGTGATATGTGATGTACTATTGTTTTATATTCGCTAATACAGCGTTTTCGGAAAGTTTAACGATTACTGGACATTTCGGTTACCATGAATAACCATGTTAAAGACCAGTTTACTATAGAATTTGATTGGATAAGTGTTACACTCACTCCTTTTTTAGTTTAGCAAAAGCAGCCTTCAGTTCTTCTGTGTGGGGTTTCTGTAAAATGAGACACGGGAAGAGAAGAAAATTGAGTTATTCATCTGATATTCCATGAACTTAAATGACGAAAGAGACTTTGTACACATTATAATAATGTAGTTGTCTACCCAGTTGCATTCCACAAAACATTCTTCAGGTCATACCTTTGAGGCTTGTGAATAAATTCTGATTTTTGAGTCGACATTGATCGATTCATCTTTCAGTGAGTTAGCCAAGTTGGCCATTTCTCCTCCATTTCTATCAGTTTGATGATGAACGATCTCATCTATTACGGAACAAATTGGTCCCTCGGGCCTGACAGCATCACAATCAAAATAGAATCACACAGGTTTTATGATCAAAAGTGAAATTGGTAACACCGTTACATATACAATTAAAAAGGGTTTGTGCGAATTTTAATGTCAGTTTGCTTGGGCAGGCTTCATATTTGCTTTTGACCATTCGGTTTTTTAAACGCGAATGAGATTATGCTACCGATATCCTGATAATAAAAAAGCTTATCTTCACGATTTCGGACAGAGGAGGACAGTGGATAGCGAATATCACAAACGAACGTCACATGACCAATAATCGGGTCAAGATGCCGAAAACTGTGCGGTTTCTCATCAAATCCTCGTCGCGTACACGCAAAGTTTAATTTGATCCAGGACAATTTCTTACTGTTGTTTCACTTACTCTTCTATTGAATGTCAGGGGTGGTCGAATAATCCATTGCTTTACTTGCGCTTTCTTATACAGCCACCGTGGTAGCTTGGATTCCACTTGATCTAACCAGTAGACTTGTTGGGCAATCAGTTGATTTGTGGCAGATCGTTGAATTTGATCAATATCTCCCACTGCAAGACCGATCTGAGAGACAAACCCGCAACAATTCAGAGCGAATCATGGACAGGTGGATAGTTTCACATTAGTGTCAGAGGCGAACTTTACTATCGAACGAATAAAAAGCATTTTGACAATAACTCAATCTTATCATGCATCAACAAATTAATTGTCGTGGATGTCGTATTTTTTCATGGTACGTTTGGTGAAGTTTAGAATTTAATCCATCTCCAAGAACGAAAGAGAATTGTCCAGCAAGATTCACCATGTATTCATTGAACTAAAATGGAGCCGTGGAGGGGAGCGTACCACGAACATGGACTCATTTGTATGCTGTTCTCAATCACAAAAGCGTTTGCTTGATTCATCAACAAACTGTGTTGGAAATGTTATCAACTGTACATTTACTTAGCTGAAGCATGCACATGTGATGACGTATTCCGAGACCCCTCCCTCCAGAGAAAATGCCCATTGGCTTAGACGATCACACAACGGTCCATCCCCATGATTGACTTTTCATCAAAGAATTTCGAAAATCATTGTGGTAAACGAGGAAACCAGGCGGCCAGCAAATCGTGAGTCAAAATCGGTCATTCGAGCATCAACAGAACCAATCACCGAAAACAACACCTCTCATTTGCATCTCAGCTGTCTTTTCCACTTAAAGATAGCCTGTTTTCGGTCGGAACGTGCGATGTTGTGGTTTTTATGCTTTGCTCCGTCTTATCAAGCCCAGTTTATGAGAGGCGATCACTTTCATTGTCATCCCATGGCCGCCCATCATTGGTCCATATGCATTTAACCAATTACCTATTAGGTCAGTATTTTATAGACTCCATCACATAATGAGTGTCAAAATTACTAACCTGACTTAATGTCTTGTATGGGTGGTAATCCGTTTGCCTTGTTTCGGGCTGTATCAAAAGACGGTGTTACTGAGTTATCGAAGGATTGAGCTCCGGGGATTTTACAGTGTAAGTGATCCGTCGTAAAAGTGTAACTTGACAACTTTTGAAAATAAATAATGGGAGATCAGAGTTTTACATAATATGACTCATCATGCAATGTGAACAGTCAAACTATGAAAGACTTGTATAGCTGTTACATTCTTGCTGGGAATTTTTGGCAGTATAGTTTATAAATCCAATAAATCGTTGACGGCTCTTCCGGATAGTATTGTGGTTAAGGTGTTCTACTCCCGATCGTTCACTCCGAGTCCCAGTGTCCTTGGGACTCGATGGATGTGCACCGCTGATGATTCCCAACAAGGCAGATGCAACAGCTGTACAGGGCTTCCACGGTTTTCAATGATGATTCGAAAGCTGACGATTTTTCTAAGCTCATGCAGTCATTTGTGGACATGTGAAGGTGATGGTAACTGCATATCGCCGTCCAGTTTAAAGTTCAGAGTAAAACAAATAGCTGAGGTTTCATGATGGTAAATGCCGATTGGGTAAGAAGGAGTTGTAGAAACTTGAAGTGTGGTACGGAAATCAAAACATGCATCTTTCTGCTTTAACTATTCCAGTAAGCCTGTTGTGATCGAAATATGCTAGATCAAAAGATTTTCCGATGTCATATGCAAGTTTGGGTCTGAATGACTGGTTACATTTGGTATCCATCTTAGTTTTGTTGATAATTTATATACCAAATTAATAATATTGTAAGATCCAACTGTTCTAGGCTTTATCCTAATTTATACGATATGAATCGGTTAGCATACGCATTGACTCGTGCACATTTGTTCCTCTAGTCGCGAGACACATGATCAGTGTGTGGGGCATCTTCACTGCACTAAACCTGTAATTTGGCTAGGTTATGTTTCAAAATAGTTAGTTTTAATTATATTGTATACCTCGACGCATGGACCGAATCTATGCTGATTCAATGATGGTTATTATATTAAGAGTTTTAAGTATCGTGAATAAACCAATATTACTCTGCCTTTTGCCGTAAAGTACTTGAGGGAATGGCACAAACTGACTTGCTTGCCTATCTTCATCTAGAAAGTGATACATTATCCAATTTGCTCAAACATTCGAATTTGCCCACATATACTACTAACTAGTGCACCATTCTAGCATCTTGCTTACATCTGAGGTCATCGTTCAGACGGTTGTTCGCTTCAGGGAATGCTGTTTGGAGCCATGGTAGGACATCCAATAACCTCGTCAATGATCATCAAAATCAATATCAATAACGGCCACATGATCAGGTTGGTTGGTTTGTGGCCAAATGATAAAATGAATATAATTAATGGAATAATGTATCCAATACGTCTTTCTCTCTCTGCGAATCAATTAAAAACTTGTGAATGCATACTTTGTGAACGAGGTGCTTCATCAGGAAAAATATCAGTAGAAATTTCAATCAACACACAACCATGAAGAAGGCCGCCTACCCATAAGGGGAAACAACGTAACCGATGTGTTAAATAAGTTACATGACAAGGCAATCAAAATTAGAGAACTCAGCACGGAACCCCGCGCTTTGTTCACACCTTGACCAGTTTTCCTCAAGAAGCCGAAAGACAGAATATCCGAGGCTTCGAACTTTCATCGTGTCTCAGTTCACTTGCACCTGGGAGTCGTTTTACTTGGACTGAATTATTAGAAGTCTTTCTGAATGCTTAAAGAAACATCATTCATGAATTTTGAACCAACGCCCGGTTGGGAGTAGACAAATGGCAATTATCATCATTTGGAATAAATTGGGTCATTCACTCGAGGCCAAGTGGGATCACTTGGTTTACCCACCGTCAAAGACGGGGTAACAAGAAATGAATATTAGATGAATATTAGCCATCACAGTGAAACTCCTGATCCATCTGAAATTCCCTCTCAGTGTACTCAGAAACTTCATTAGATCCTTGATCCCACCCTGAGGATTGACATATGACGCTGCGATATCACCACCAACAATGTGCCACTGGCACGACAACTGGCATAACAAATCTGTGGTGGCACTATCACTGTGGTGATGCGCAACCTTAGGCTGACCTCACCATGATTATCTATTTTCATACTTTTCCATCAACTTAACTCTCAAACCCAGAAAAACATGTTGTATCTAGACCGTCGTGATGCGAGTAAAACAATTTCAATTGTTATCACGTGTTCTACTGTTTTAACCGGGTAACTACAATTACAATCCGTGTAAGTCAGTAGGCGACCAGAGCCACCGCTTGCCGGGAAATACATGGATCGGCGAACTCTTACATATGAAAAAACAAAGTCACAATTCGTTGTTCGGATAGAACCTTTATGCTCATAATGGCGTTAGAATTGGCAAATTGATCCACTGGTTTGCCTTACCATTAGGTTCATCAGTGATATAGGCATTGTAAAAACGAATGCCGCGTAGAATGCAATCGTTAGCTTGACTGTATAAATTTTGGCAGGGAACCCATCCAAATAGGGCCTGGTGATCATCTCTGTATGCTCGTATTCACCAAGCATCATCATCAATGTTTGAAAGAGTGCCATATTCACATTTCCAAATGCTCCAACTGGAAGCTGCAACTCTGGCCCACTTCGGATCTCCGCCTCAGAACGATTCAAGTGTTCGTATCCGATGAAACAATAGGCCAATCGATTTTTCGTCTCTCTTGGATAGCGTAAGTATTCCTTTCAGAAAATAAATATCAATCAGAATAGAAATTTGAGTGAACATTTTAAATATCGTTCCAAAACATCTCACCATCTGGATGTGGTAGATCTGTTGAATTCAGGACTACTTGATTCACATTTAGGATTTCCCTCGACTTCTCTCCCTCCCCCTCTCTCTCTCATGAAATCTCGCCTGCTTTCTGTTAGATTTCCCTAACAATGTTAGCGCTGCATTTACCATCTGATTCAACAACATATCAGATATTGACACCGGGTTTGTTCTGACCAGTTCATTTCCATCCAAACCCCTTAGCCCTTTCTTGCACATAGAAGTTTTCAATGATTTTCTCATCTAAGAGGTTAATTAAATCATAACACTGTACCGAAAGGTGAAACTTTATCGAATTTTATATTGGTCAGATTAGCTCTACAACTCTACATTTGTAACTGGTTCATTTTGACAACTATTTTCAAATAGACTGAAACTGAGAATTCAGAAATCAGTATAATGGGGCCCACTGGTAAGCCTATGAATAAGGAATTCTCCTTAAGTGGTTTTAGTTACTGATGAATAAATATTGATCATATCAGAATTATTTATTTTGGTGAAATGATTACCATGTGTCTGCTTGACAGAAAAAAAGCAAAACCAAATGGAACACAGTTGGGAGATAATTAGTGAATAAGTTGCCATCCATTTGCTAAATCTCTGTGAATGTTTGGGGCACGCTGGAGTGAAACTTTCGGTTTATTTGGAACACATGACCTAGATATCAATGTCACATGAGTGTGGTTCGTTGAACATCTATTTTGACTTTTCTATATTGACGTGATGTTTACTGATAACCAGGAAATTCTGTTAGTTTGTGAAAGAAACGAGAGATGAAGTTGTGTAAGCCCATCGGGAATTTGAATATATGATCATGCTTTCCCGGAGTCCTTCTGTGAGTAACACTATACTCTCACACTGTTCTTGCAAAAGATGGTGTCATAACAATATGTGGTAGGAAAAAATCAACTAATTTGTCCTAGTTAATGTTGTTATTTGCACAGCTGCTGAGGAAGAAGAAGATCAATATAAGGACGGTGGAGAGCGAACATTTGTTTCCTGTCAAAGGGCAGTAGATGTCATTAGGATTGTTTAGTAATTTCCTAAAAAACTATTGCAAACAAAACTTGGAAAAATTAGTTTGTCCAAGCCTGCAGCACATCTAAAGCTCACTTTATGCACCCATCTAGGATGGTTACGTGTTGAACTGGGAAATATTTCAAATCGTTCCTTGAACCGCTTTACCTGCTGGTTTACTTTGTCTGATCTATTTTGATGAAATTAGAAGCCCGCAAAAACATAAGTTATGAAATGTAATTCCCGTAGGAAATTATTACAATGACTTCTACACCTTTTCCCACCAAGCTTTAGCTACGAACCACCATTCTTTAGCCAGGACCCACCATTCTTAATCCACGATTCACCGTTCTTGATCCGTGACACTCCATTCATTGGCCGTGATCCACAGTCCTGTAGACTGCACGCACAACTTTTGGCCATGAGGCTGCAGGCCAGTCGAATTAAAAGTACCGAAATATTATAACCTCAAGAAGTGCTGGAACAATTTATTACATTTTATAGAGCCGTGTGGCAAGCTGGCTGACCAAATGAGAAAGTGTTACGATTGTATGCTGCGTAGTTGACCGTGGTAATTGTTTCAAATGCTGTACCACAAGGGCTCGCGCAATGACTGCGCCAACCGTAGACGTATAAGCCTTATCTCAGTAGTGTCGAAGCTGCTTCGTCTGTCACACTTAGCAGCCTGTATCACAGATGTGAAGAGCAGACTCTCGGAGAGTGGGCTCGGTTTTGCACCAGCCGTAGATGTATCGACCAAATCTCCACCCTTCGACAGTTGCTAGAGCACCGTCACACTTTGCAAAGACTAACGATCATCGTGTTCCTAAAAATTCTCGCGGTCCTCGACTGTGTTGGTGTGACTGCAACAAGGAAGTGCTTGTGGAGAAATGGGGTACCTGAATGTCGTCGTCACACTTGTGGTCAGATTAGGGCCTACGGCCAGCTTACAGTCTTTTCTGCCGTCTCTAGGAAAGTACGATAAGTTTGCCCTGTATCCCCATTCCTCTCCTACCTTGCTATAGAGGATGTTCTACGGAATGGCTCACCTGGTCTTCTAATGGGTGGAGTTGAACTCCACCCAGTGAACACAGCTTTGACTGGAGGTATGTTCATGCTGTTGGTGAGGAAATCATTTCACGAATAGAGACATCCAGAACGGCACTCGCAAAACTACGACATCTGTGGTGTCGCTGTGACATCCGGCTATCTGTTAAGGGACGGGTGTAATTCGCCGCGGATCGTAGTGTTTAACTCTTCGGCTGAGAGATCTGTCCAATTTATGATTAGGACGCTCGGCCTTTTTCTGTATTCGACAAGTGATGTCTCCGAAGTATTGCTTGCATCCGGTGGAAATAGCAAGTGAGTAATGACAAGGTGCGCCGTTGTTTGTAGGGCAAGGATGGGTGCGAATGCCATGGGGTGTGCCTGTTCAACTCTCGTCCCCCGCATTCACAAAACGTTGCTCACATAAACATAATGACAGAAAACATCAAAAGTGTGCGGCAAAAGAATAAGAACTTCACATCCTATCTTTCACTAACATTTCCCATACTACGCTATTACTGAATTTGCTTATTTTTCGTTCAGTAAATATGTAACGGAATTCTAGTATTGGCTCAGATACGCGTAACACAATCCAAAAACCGCCAAGCACCCAGTTGTGGTTTTCAATACGGTTCTTTATAAAATAATCAATAATACGACAAAGAAGCTGTACAAACCTCAACGGTAACCTGATCCGTGAGCTAGAGTCGGTCAAATTCAAGCAAATTCAAGATCGCTTGAGGTTCAAGCTTTCAAGTCAACGAGGTGTTTGTGGATAATACGGGTCAAAGGTCATGAGACAAAGTCAATGCACGCACCAGTCAGCGTTCGCATAAGGTCAATGTCCGATGTGTGGTTCAATGACCGAGCAGGTGTGGTGCAAAACGTTAATGGGAAACACTAATTTGAAGCGAGGATAAGGGGTCAAGTCGATCTTCAGCAAGAGCCTTGAATTCAATTGTTTTGTCGATTACAATGCATGGGTATTCACTTTGGTCGAACCGAGTGAAAAGTATTGAACTGAAATCAGTATATTTATAGCCGTATAAATCAGTACTTATGTGTGGACATCTCGTTCGAAGAATGTATAACGAGTCAGCATGTTTTTACTATATATCAAGATTCACGACCTGCTCTTTAGCTGGAACGACAGAAAAGAGTATAGTGTACGATGGAGTATGTCTGAGTGATAAGACGTCAACTCTTAGGCAGATCAGTAGCTGTTCAGCTCTTTGGTGTGGCTGTGATTACCGGGTTCATTTATACATATTCTAATCCTTTTTTGATGATGTTCTACTGATGTGTTTTAAATCGTCGGATTATAAAACGTGTTTGACCACTGAACTTCGTCAATCTTTGCAAGACGTCCTAACAAAACAACTGATAACTTCAGCGTGCAGCTCTTCATTCATAACAATAATAATAATAATAATAATAATAATAATAATAATAATTTTATTATTGCTACAATCCTCAAGGACTTACATCTTCCTCTGGTAGTATGAACAGTTTGTGAAAGGTGATCGCGAAGGCGATAAACAAACTGCCAAAAATCGGTGCCATTTTGATTATTGTTTGACCAACTTGGATGAACATGACGACAAACAAACCGATCGAGCGATATCTGTAGGATAAAATGCGGTGGAATCGGAAAATGCAGAAGTTAAAGAAAATCGGGAAGAAGACTTGGAAAACTAACAACCAGGCGAGGAATACCTGAAAATGGGCACAGTGTTTGACAGGGAGTCATCCAGACCTCCCAGGAACAAATACACTATTTACCGTGAGCGATTCAGGCAGGGCTATCCAGGTGATCCACATCAGCAGCACAAGTTGACTCAAATCTATCGGTTCGGTATGCGGCGCATCATATCCCTTTGTTAACCTACGCCTCATCAAATAAATCAACCCGGAAAGATCGCAATCCGACTGTGCGACTGACTGGTTGTTCCATTTTAATCTGTCTGACTATCGATACAATTCCTTTCCACATCGCATTGACCCGACCTGGCTCATACCAGCGGGCTCCTGCGTCGTGCGCTACAGACGAAAATCCTCTATAGAGGTCATCCGTGGGAAATAATAAACATAAGTTGGGGGTTAAAACATCTTTCACCTGCCTTCGTATAACAGACAGTTTTATAAGATAGAAGAAGTGTTACCAAGTTACTTACTGAAGCATTTGGAGTAAAATATTCATCCAGGACATGAACATCACAAACACAGTCAGTGCACCGCAAGCAGGGCTATGTTGACCGGTCAAGTTGAGGACACAATTGACAATGAAGAGCACATTGAACAGAAGCAACCAACAGTTGATCCATCTGGTAAAATATTGCCAACGCTGTGAATAGGAATTTCGAATGGGGTTAACACAATTCGCTTTTATTATCATATACGGATACGGGAGAGATTTCGTACCAAAGATGGGGCAGCATTATGGCTATATTGACTGAGCTTGCAGTAAGCAAACACTAAATTTCAATCGGAAATATTGAGTTAAAATTAACATGACCGTAAGCTGATCTGTGAAAGCGGTTATAGATTAGTAAATTCCATTGGAGTACTCCTGATTGCTGAGATTTGGGAGTAATGTGAACATGTTCATTATTTGGCAGGTATCATTACTTTTGCATAAGCAGTGAGTTGCCGTCAAGAGAGATTGGTCTTAGTAAGTATGATTCAAGTGCAAATTAATATTCTTTAAAAACTTGTGCAATGCAAAGTAGGCCAGTGGTTTTGCTATGCAATGCACTGAATTTCTGCCATGAAATCGCAATTCTCTGACGAATACCCACATGATGCGCAAGATTAGAAACTTATCGTGGGAAAAAGTTAAAATGATGAATGGCTTATTCTTGATGGTTATTTGGGGGTCTAGAGAAACTGAGATAAATAGAAGATGATGGTCATATGTTCATTCTTATAAACTATTGTAACGAAGATGGTAAGACATATGAGGAACACCTTTACTTGAGCAGCAAAACAAATTAAATCGGTAAAACATGTGCAATCGTTTGTATGGTCCTCTTTCCCGACCGCGATCTTTTGGCTGTCTGAATATTTCCTCTCTGTTTTGGCGGAGTGGCTGCCGCCTTTAGGCTGATTCGTTTACTTCCATCCTCGTTTGGTCGGTCCGATTGATCTGGTTGATAGCTCTATAGGTAACCACTCACCTGTGCTATCTTTCCGATTGTCTCAGATCACACATTGGTGGCTCTACATGCGTCTTTTCGTCTTTTTCGGAAATCTTCAGAAGTATTCACAATCCCTTCTGTGGTCTGCTTTTGTCGACTGATTGACCCGATCACTTTGACATTCGTCTTGCTCTGTTGCCACAGAAATCTTCGCTACCCTATTACCAAATGCTCACTTTAAATGGTCTTCAGAATGGTTTTTTTATCTGTGCTTTATTCAAAACCATCTTTTTATATTTTAGTAATGGAAGGTTGTAAGACTTTATCTGCCAGTAAGTGCATACATTCTTTTGTATATAAACGAGTTAATACAAACTCAATCCAACAGAATGCATTTTCGTGATTCCTGTCTGGTCTCGTCGTTTTCACAGTGCGTGTAGTCCGGGAGCGAGCTATTAGATTGCGTGCAATTGGCCGGGTTGATACAACCTGCACATTTGGAGTCGCTGCTCGGATTCGCTGACCATTGAACATTTGAACCAGCACAGTAATCCATTCCAGATCAAAGAAGGCGTTGAATGCTTCGAGCTCTGGTGCAGTATTCTTAAAGGAGTTAAGCAAAATCAGTTTGGCGTATTTGTGATTACAAGTCGCCGCGAGTTTTATTCGTTGTTGAAGGACTAGGCATACCCCGATGCGCCCACAAAACTACTATTAAAGAACTGAAGGAACTCATGCTGAATCATGTTATGCCAGTCGATTTCCGGACGACCAAACGAGTGGCATTCAAATCACTGGTACGAGGACAGAAAGTGTCTTTTTGCGAATCCAGTCTCCAACCGAATCAACAGACAGCCAGCACTGATTTCGAGGGTCGTTTTGAGGGATATCTTGTGATCGACTAATAGCCAGAATCAACAAAGCCACCCCACAGCGGCGTTTTTGGTGCAGAAAATCCTGAAATTTTCAGAAGCTTGCACAATCTGTGACTAATATGCTGGATTACATTCAGCCACCATGACCGATACCACAGTTGTTTCAACAGAAGACATTAAAACCAATTAACCCGTGACATAACCGTCAAGTACAGGTCAACCAGTCAAGCCATTCCGAAGCTACCGTGTCTTAGAAACTTGTGAACTGATGCGTTTCATGCGGAGATTTCTATTTGCGTTCAGTGTTGATTCCGGTAAGCCGTATGCCATGCATGTGGTAAAACTGGTCACTTACAAAAGGCATGCTGAGGATCCAAGTGCAGCATGATGGAGGTGACCGAAAAGAATGAAAACGAAGATATTAAACCTATCTACACACTGAAGACCACAAGTTAGAACCATCGTTTCCTGTACAAACCAGAAATCTTTCAACGCGGACTTCAACATGAGTTTATTAATGATACAGAGAGTTACGAGTCTATCATTCCGAAGAAGGCGTTGAAGATGATTTATACCCGGGTAACCGTAAAGCTCACGGTCGTACGCGTCTAGGGTGTAACCAGTCACCACCTCTAGCTGTTAGGTGAAACCACGTTAATGATGCCATCCAAGCAGAAAATATAGGTCCCAGTCCGCTTTCTAACTTCGGTTGACAGCTCGTCTATTCTGGGATTGAATGCATTACCAGTTATGAATCACTCACTTTCATTTCACACAGCTTCGCCACTTCCATCGGTCATGTGATTCTTCAGCAACTGATGATACAATAATCCGTCAATGGAACAATATAGCAATAGGTCCAGTAAGGTTAGAAATCGATGGTGACTCGGTTTTCGTCAAACGAATAGCACTGCCTTAAGATCATAGAAAAGGTGTCCTAAAAGCTTCGAGGCAAATGAAGAGGAATCATGTGGTCACTAAAATCGGTTCGTCCTCTTGGGTGGCTCTGATAGTTGTGGCAATGAAAAGAGATGGGAAAACATCACCTATTTATGGGAATACACACTCACTTTGAGTCCAAAACTACGAAGGTGTGCGGTGACTATTGTCAAACCGGAAGACACTATGAAATTCATGCTCGGTAGTACAAACTTTTCGAACATTGATCCAGCTGATGCTCAACTGCGAATTCCGCTGCTCCCAGAATCGAGGCCACTTACCATCACCGATACCTCTTGGGTAATTTTTCAGTTCAGTTTTCTACCCTTCGTGTTGCACGTCACTCCCAGCACTTCAAGGCGGATACTGACAAGGTGATTAGGGGTTGAGCGGACTAATAGTATATCAAGGTGATGTGATCTTCTTCGCACCATCAAAGTAGGAACATGATCGTCGCTTAAGACGGACCCTAGAGTGATTTGTGGCCAAGAATGTTCTGATCAAACCCTCAAGGTGTAAGTTCGATATCCCGGAATTGGACTTCTTTTGCTTCATTGTGAACGCCAGTGGGTACCAGTAAGACGCTGATCCTTTCAAACCCATAGCCGAAACTGAGTCACCGAAGAATCAAGCACACTTGAGATTTGTTTAGCTGACAGTCCTTCGGGCTCCACCTTTCACGCACAAACCTCAGGTCATCCGACCTACCTGCATTCAGAAGCACCATACTCGAGTTTCTCTCTTGGTAGTGCTCATCAGTGTTGCATATCTTCTACCACACCCAGGGTTTGAACCCGGGCCCTTTCACCTCGAAGGCGTGTGTGTTACAACTGCGCCACCCAGTTCCCGTCCGGGCTGACCCGAATCGCTAAGGTAAGCTTGTTCAGATGTCGACCTCTAGGAGAGCAAAAGATGCCCGACAGCTTCGAATGGAGACACGGTACCAGCCCCGTTTACTCCAAGCGAGTGCCTCCCACCAAGTCTGGTCTTCTCAGCAGGATGGAGTGCACATACCCCCATTTTACACCTGCAGCGTAGTGGTAACACATACGCCTTCGGGGTGAAAGGGCCCGGGTTCAAACCCTGGGTGTGGTAGAGGATATGCACCATTGATGAGCTCTAACAAGAGCGAAACTCGAGTCTGCTGCTTCCGAGTGCAGGTTAGTCGGATGACCTGAGGTTTGTGTGTAAAAGGTGAAGTCCGAAGGACAGTCGGCTAAACAAATACCCATTAATCCGACACACTACTCGCAGTTAATTGCGTGATGTACATACACTTGAGATTGACCGTTGGTTGTTTGCAATACGACCCCAGATTCATACCGAATTTCACTACGAAAGGGCAGTGGTTTTTCCTCGCCCAGTCATCCAATGTGTGGCAGTGGGCCAATCAATGCTAAAGAGTTTTGTGAGATCTCATTAGCAGCACATTTGAAAGTCCAACATTAGCTCCATTCGCGTCATCCAAGCAAGCAGTATTAATCGCGGATGCATCTGAGGTTGTGATCTGTGTAGTGATTGAGCAAAACGGATGCCCGATCATCTGTATTTCTCGACTTCTGAATGCTGCCGAGTGAGAATATCAGCAGGCAGTGAAAGAAGTACTGGCTGTATTCTGGGCGATACGGCGTCTTTGTACGTACCTCATTGAGTATGAGTTCACAATTGTCACGGGTCGCCAAGCGCCACAATTTTTAATCGATCTGAATAATCCCGTTGCCAAGTCCACAGCTGTCATGATGCAAATCTGTGGCGCAAACAAGTCTATTGCCAGGTTCATCCGTTCACGTCGACACATATCACTTCTGCCATTTTAAACTGCTGCTATGTGTACTTACACATTGGTGACGCACTAGAATATACAAATTTGTATATTCTAATTATAGGTTAATTTCTTATCCTGTGACTGAAGCTATTATTTCCTGTTAGCCCAAAAGCTTCTTGATTTAATATCTGTACTGTAACCGTGCCGCACTACAGTTTCGCTTGACTCCTTGCTGAGTGGACCATTTATGACCGCACTGTCCCGATTTACCGGATAACCTTCGGTACTCTTGCTCTTGGTTGCTCACTTGCCTGTAATTCATTTGCGTTTTTGTATTTATATGTTTTGCATTATTGAGAACCACGAATTCACGATAAACACGGTTATGCGATGGGGATTTATTCTGCTGTCCGAGGCCGTATACAGCCCATATCGTGCGTAATGCTAATGAGACTAAGTTTTCCGCTATATGCACAGTCCAAGTAATCGAGGTATTTGGAACAGTAGCCATAGGTATAATTCATCTACCCATTAGACGGTACACACTGCTATGACCCCTAGAGTCACTCAAACTGATTGAGACTAATTTTAACTCATGTTGTTTCTATAACATGTTTGCACATGAAAGTGTCACAATGGAAGGGGCCTATTCCCAGCATTCGAAGACCCACCGCATTATCACCGATAATCGGATAACTCGATCAGAGACATGGAGTGCCAGAAAACCCAGAAAAGCCCATGCTGATCCGGATTGGTTACGATCCCGACGAAAGTGGATTCCTGTCCACCAACAAAGCAACCGGTGATGGCGGGAATCAGTCCGTTGTTCACCGAGGTCATATAGCACGATCTGAATTACTCGACCAACACCGGTCATGCAAATAAAAAACAGGCGTATTCTTCAACGTCAGCGAATCTTATCTTATCATGCATGAGTTACGCATCAACATTAATATATTTTAAATGCTTAGGATGTTCCGCTTATCGCTAGGAGTTCAAAACCGTAGTTGGTGTAAGAGAACAAAATAGTTTGAAAAGTTTCACATCTCAAGTCATTTACAACATATCACTAAGAAATTGTAGTAAACAACCCCCACAGTTTGTGCTGACAAAATGAATAATGAATTTGCTTATTCTCGAGTGAATTGTTCTAATGACTGGTGATTAGCACCGAATCGGTTTCCGTGGATTTCTTTCAGATTTTCTGAACAATATTGAACGTGTTGAGTCGTGGGAAAATATGCTATCAGTAGCATTTGCATGAGAAACTTACCCGTGATTTGGTGTGACACAGTACTGGCACGAGGATATGACAGAATAAGTGCGGTACAGGATTCACAAAGCACTCACTTCGTTTGTTATTCTTATCAATTTTTCGATCATTGAAACGGTGCAGCCAACAGTCGGAAATACCAGAGTGGCTGTAGTGTACGGCGAATATTGCATGCCCCCGTAGATCTGCGAGTGATGATATACACGAATAAACTAAGGCTTAATTCTGGGGAAAAAAGCCGTATAAAGTTCCATTACAGATTAAT